TCATCATGTATGGCAAACATGACGAATATCTTATCGCATCAAGCGTTTTCATGTGATCGAAATCATTCGCTTATGGTGTAACTAAGTTGAATTTTCGTGATGCCTATTTTAGAACCAAATACTTCACTCTTCCTCAACGCCTAAATTACATTTACATTTATTTTGTTTCTTTGTGATTGCCAGACAGGTACATTTGTATGTAGCCTTGTTTTGACTCACAAATTATAAAAGCATATTAGCCAACTACCGGTACTTTTTTTCAGACATGCCTGAAAACGTGGCATTGATATCACACGTGGTGCATTGGCATTGCACGTGGTGCATCAACATCACACACGAAGCATCAACATTGCACCCGGTGCATCAACATCGCACACAGAGCATCAACATTGAACCCGGTGCATCACCATCGCACACGAAGCATTAACATTGCACCCAGTGCATTAACATTGCACCCAGTGCATCGACATTGCACAAAGTGCATCGACATTGCACCCAGTGCATCGACATTGCACAAAGTGCATTGACATGTACATGTACATAGTAAAATGAGCCATGAACTAAAATCAGTAGTTCACAAATTGTGTTGTTATCTGATGTATTTTTCATTAGGAATACATGGAAAAATTATTTCATGTTCCATGGTTGATGTTGAAGAACAGAACAGGACAATAGCGGACATCAAACGAATCCCCTGATCTGCTTTTCATTGAATTTTGATGAATTAAGTATGCCAAATTAGAGAAATCGGTTCCATGTGTGATTCTGCATGGAATTGTTGAAATTAAGCTGCTGAAAGCTTGATTACATCGAAATCTACATTAATAGTTGGCTATGTTCAGTTGTTTGCTACCAATTTCTGACCCGGATACCTTGTAAATACTGTAATTGCTCCATTTGGTATATGGTACATACCGGTACTACTTCATACAAAATGCTATATGTGTAAAAAACATATTAGTTAAAAATGTTGTATTTCTCAATTACCAATTTCTCTGACACTAATTTAAAATGGCTGACTGATTGCCCTTACCCATTGTTTAGACACATCTTGACATTTTTTGTTTGGTACAATTTGGTTATGATGAAATTAACTTGACCTTACCATTCAAGTACAATACTTGTAATTTGCAAATCTTCTCTTTGTAGAAAAAAATTATGAATCTTATATTTTTGTTTCTGTAATTTATTCAGATATTAATTAAGATGTACATGTACCCGATACTACTAGATGATTAGTATGATAACAGACTATAACTTGTTTTGTCATTGACAGGATCGTCTACAGAGAGGTGCCATGCAGTGTCAAGATGAACTTAAAGATATGGTTGCTAAGGGAATAACGGATGAAATAATAATGAGAAATAATATGGAAAAATGTCTTAATAAATGTGCAGACAAGCATATAGATCTACTGCCCTCTATGATGAAACGGATGAAACAAACACTAGCTAGTTATGATAAATAATTTTTGTAATTTAATTTTTTCAATGGAATGTCGCAAATTAAAAGTATGTATTAGTTATTATGGTAATGAATATTTTTATAGTCATAATTTTTTGGCTGTGGCTTGTTTCTGTTTATTTCACTATTTCTGTAAATGCATTAATTATTCATAAGGTTTGCCCTGGCTATTTTTATGGATACTAGTAAATGAAATCTGCTAATTTAAGTTGACATGAACATGTCAACTC